ATTCCTGAATACGCCCCTTCCAAAAATCGTTCTCTTGAACAAACCCTTCTATACTACTATGCACATCTGTTTAAGTTTGGATCTATGTGGATCTGTATCTATTTTTCTATCTATCTTTTATGTTTCTGTTATTATTCTGGTTTTCAAGATCTTTTTAATTGCGTGTCATTTGTATCTAGACACTAGGCAAGGCTGTATCTACTTTCTATGTATATGAATTCAGACATGCTGTACCTATGTATCTGTTTCCAAACAGGAAAGCAGGATGTATCTGTATCTAGACCTGCTGTTTCTAGGATATATCTGTATCTGTACATGTTGTATCTGTGTATCAGTTGTCTGTACTCAGGTATGACGTGAACCCAGGTTCTATGTATCTATTTATCGGTATCTATCCAGATTTTGTTGTATCTATGTATACTTATATAGTCAGGTTCTATGTTTCTATGTATCTGTATCTTTTCAGGTTCTATGAATCTATGCATCTTTATTTATCCAGTTTTTATGTGTCTTATGTAAATGTATATCTAGCCAGGTTCTAGATATTTGTATCTATGTCATGAACTATGTATCTGTACTCCAGCAGGTTTTATATATTCTATGTATCTCACATCTATGTACATCTGTTTTTAGCAAGGTTCTATGTATGTGCAATTAGCTGAGTTCTTTGTATCTCTGGTGCCCGGCTTTATGTATCTATATATGTAGACTGGTTCACTAGACCAACTAGTTCCTCTAACATCTATGTATCTATATTTAGACTGGTTCACTAGACCAACTAGTTCCACTAACATCTATGTATCTATATCTAGGCTGGTTCACTAGACCAACTAGTTCCTCTAACATCTATGTATCTATATTTAGGCTGGTTCACTAGACCGACTAGTTCCTCTAACATCTATGTATCTATATTTAGACTGGTTCACTAGACCAACTAGTTCCTCTAACATCTATGTATCTATATTTAGGCTGGTTCACTAGACCGACTAGTTCCTCCAGCAAGACTGACGGACTCTGGAGGGAATGGTTTCACACTTGTCGGAGAATCTGGTTAATATTTTTTATTCAAATATTTTGCTACTTTTACAACATTTGAAATTTGAAACCTTTGATAAATATTTGGTTGTTAAAAGAATTGATTTTTTTAATGTAGGTGAGGAAACTAGCATAAGTCATAGATTACAAGTTACAAGTCAACTCTTTGATATGTTGTCAGATAACAGCCAGGTAAATATTTTATGGTCTCTTCAATCCTTCAACATCTCTCTATCCCACCCTGCACTTATTTACCCTCTCCCTACCCGTTCCTTCAATCCTTCAACCTTTTCCTAATCAACCCTTTACTCCTTCAATCTCTCCCTATCCAACTCTTCACTAGGTCTCTCTATCCGACCCTTCTCTCCTTCAACCTTCCCTATCTAACCCTTTACTCCTTAACCTCTCCCTATCCAACCCTTTACTAGGTCTATCTATTCGACCCTTCTCTCCAACGTCTCCTTATCCAACCCTTTACTCCTAAAACCTTTCCCTATCCAACAAGTCTTTCCTTCAACCTCTTCCTATACAGCCCATATCTCCTTCAACCTCTCCCTATCCAACCCTTTACTCCTAAAACCTTTCTTTATCCAACCAGTCAGTCCTTCAACCTCTTCCTATCCAACCCTTCACTCCTTCAATCTCTCCCTGTCCAACCCTTTACTAGGGCTCTCTATCCGACCCTTCTCTCCTTCAACCTTTCCCTATCTAACCCTTTACTCCTTAACCTCTCCCTATCCAACCCTTCACACCTTCAACCTCACCCTATCCAACCCTTCACTCCTTCAATCAACCTCTCCCTATCCAACCCTTTACTCTTTCAACCTTCCCCAATCCAACCCTTCACTCCTTGAACCTCTTCCTATCCAACCCTTAACTCCTTCAACCTCTCCCTTAAAACCCTTTACTTCTTCAACCTCTCCCTATCCAACCCTTTACTCTTTCAACCTTCCCCAATCCAACCCTTCACACCTTTAACCTCTCCCTATCCAACCCTTTACTCCTTCAACCTCTCCCTATCCAACCCTTCACTCCTTCAATCAACCTCTCCCTATCCAACCCTTCACACCTTCAACCTCACCCTATCCAACCCTTCACTCCTTTAACCTCTCCCAATCCAACCCTTCACTACTTCAACCTCTCCCAATCAAACCCTTAACCTCCTTCAACCTCTCCATTACCAATCCTTCCCTTCTTCACTCTAAATCAATCTGTACCCAATCTATTTTTATCGATCCTCGCCTTATATAACCTGTAGTAATCCTACTTCTTGATATTCTGTTCTCTCCGCTCCATCTTTACTCCGGGCCATCTTGACTCCGCTCCATTCTTACTCCGATACATTCTGACTCGATGCATCCTGCTGTATAACCCATGATCTCATTTGGTTGAATGAATAAACTTTAACTAAAGTTTTACTGAAAACAGTTTTGTTTATTTAATTCTAAACAGTCGCCCTTTCATGAAACCTTCTCCAGATACAACCTACCCATACGCAGAGTAAATCTGTGATTATGATCCGGATCCGTTGAATGCGCTACAATTTGGTTTCCTGGATCCGGATACGCAAAAATATTCAAAGATCCGGATCCAACCTCTGAATGGTTCATCGATCGAGTGTTAGCTCAAAAATAAGCGAAAAAAAAAGAAAAAAATATTTGAAAACTCTTCTTTTGTTAAAAAAAAATCAGTAAATCTTAAAAGAAATGTTCAAGACCTGGATCCGAATCCAGATCCTTTTTAAGGGTGGATCCAATATCCGGATCCGCATCAAAATTAAATGAATCCTTAACACTGGAGTAAATATTTTACTAGTACAGGCTGTACAGTGTACAATATATGTAATGTATGTATTGTTCAATATAAACTGGACTGAAACTGGGAAACGCATTGTCGAATCGCATTAAATCAAAATCCACAGTGTAAACTTTTTAATCAAAGGAATTTAGTTTGACTTTGAGGGAAATTCACCAAAAGATAATCACGAATTGATAAAAGACATGGATGGTTGTGTTCGACGACTTAAATTAAAACGCCTAGGGGGAAGGGGAACCGACTAGGCGTGATAGAAACAGATTTAAAAGTTTTGACCTCTATGCAGGTAGATCATCCATTGTGTGAGGAGTGCACGGATACACTGCTAGAGAATATGGAACAGCAGCTGGAGCTCGCAGAACAGGATTCACAGGTTTATATTTATTTTATTTTCTGTTCATGCACTTTAATAATTAGGATTCCACTGCTTATCTCGATACTATATCGATAGTTATTAATTCAAATGAATAAACTTTTGTTCAAAAGGACTATAGTTCTTTTAAACGTTAGTCCAGTTGGTCATTAGTACAATTGATAAGACACCCTTACCTCCTCTTTGAAGTAAAACCTTCCCCAAATCTATATTAAACGTTAAAAATATAATTTTTTTTGGTGTAGAAAAGGGAAAATTAGTAAAAAAGTTAAAATTACAATTAAAAGAACACCAGCTCGAACTTAACCATAGAAAAATAGATCGAGTTTTGACGGTCGAATCCCACAAGTAAAAAGTCAGTTTTATTTTAGCCGCGGCTCAAATTCTTTGAATTCGGCCTCAGCTTGTTTTTTTGTTTTTTTTTCTTAAAGAAATTATTTAAGTGACTTTTCCTGGTTTAGGAGTATCAGGAGTATCTAACTATGCTAAACAATGAAACCGAGGATACTAGTTGTCTATCAACCCTGGAGCATGAACTGAACCAGCTCATGCTGGAGGAAACAAACCTCATGAAGGAACTCCAGGTCAGGTTAAATACAGGATAACTTTAATAATAATCAAAGAAAAACCAATAATTTAAAAGAATTGAAAAGGTGAAAAATTAAACGATTCAATAAGCACGTAAGGAAGAAGTATAAGTGGAATAATTAATAAAAAAATAACAGTTTTAAAATGTATTTCAACCAGAAAGCTTTTGTCAGGAAAAACGAGTTTAAAGAATTAGTTAAAAGAGTTATGCCCGGAAAAGATTAATAATCTTAGGACGGATTAAGCCCGGAAAAGATTAATAATCCCAGGACGGATTATGCCCGGAAAAGATAAATAGCCTCAGGACGGATTATTTCCGGAAAAGATAAATAATCTCAGGACGGATTAAGCCCGGAAAAGATAAATAATCTCAGGACGGATTAAGCCCAGAAAAGATAAATAATCTCAGGACGGATGACAAACGACGCTTTTGAACCTTTTCTTCCTTTGTTACTTTACTTCATTAACATTGTAAAAGAAAATATCCAGTTGAAGGGCATTATTACCTAACCTGGAAAATTAAATATTTCTGAGCTGTTTAGTTTTACTCTATTTTGTATTTGAAGCTATGCACAGTTGCTTGGTATAAAATATGCCTAGATTATGTAAAGTTGAACATTTGAAAACAAATGTGCATATCATTTCTTCTGCTTTTTATACAATTCCAGCCTGATATTGTTGCAAAATTATCTAATTTTCTTCTCTTCATATTGTTTTTTTAAAAAGCGGAGTCTAGAATTTAATTTTCTATGAGATGGAGCTTTGAGGACTTAAGTCTAGCTTTCGTTCTTAAGTTAAGTGTTGTGGCTTGATTATATAAACCTAGAATTCTCAACGTTATCTTATATACTCGACTCGTTTTAAGTTGTCATTCATATTATTTTGTGGATAATCAATCAGTTTTTTAAAACGTTTTTTTTTCTCATTTTTGTTTCTAAAAAAAGTCAGTTATTTTTAAAAAGTGCAGTTTGACTTTTTAAAAGTTTTTTGTCGTCCTTTACATTGCTAGGTTTAGTTTGACAAATATAGTTTTTTTTTCGCGGAATTTGTTGAAATTCTTTTAGACTTGTACCTTGATATGCAATTTTCTTCTTTATTTCGATATTTAGAAACATATTCAAGAATCAGGAACATTGTCGATTAATATTAACTTGTAGGAAAATGTTTTTTTTTTATATTTCAAAGCTTATTATTTTATTTATTTTATTGTTATTATAGTTTTCAACCCTTTTTAATTAATTTATTACCTTATTTAGAAGTCTGGACTCTCAACTCCGCAGTACTCAAACCCAGCTGGAGAAATTAAAGAAAACAAACGTGTTCAATGCAACCTTCCATATTTGGCATTCCGGACACTTTGGTACCATCAACGGTTTCAGGTACAAGGATTCCGGACACTTTGGTACCATCAACGGTTTCAGGTACAAGGATTCGGGACACTTAGGTACCATCAACGGTTTCAGGTGCAAGGATCATATTCCGGACACTTTGGTACCATCAACGGTTTCAGGTACAAGGATCATATTCCGGACACTTTGGTACCATCAACGGTTTCAGGTACAAGGATCATATTCCGGACACTTAGGTACCATCAACGGTTTCAGGTACAAGGATCATATTCCGGACACTTTGGTACCATCAACGGTTTCAGGTGCAAGGATCATATTTGGGACACTTTGGTACCATCAACGGTTTCAGGTGCAAGGATCATATTCCGGACACTTTGGTACCATCAACGGTTTCAGGTGCAAGGATCATATTCGGGACACTTAGGTACCATCAACGGTTTCAGGTACAAGGATCTGACAAAAAAACTTACGAATTACTAAGTTCACACTAGACACACTTTAACAAATGATAGAAAGATTCATGATAGGTTATGGTAAGGTGCACGCCTCCTGGTTGTACCTCGCAAAGTTATATTTAGATGGTGGTGTGTGGGGGGGGGATGGACTCCTGGTTGATTGATTGATGACAAATTTACTTTATTTTCTGGAATATGTTAATCCAACCTTAAACCTGATTTGTATGTTTTTATAATTTCAGTAATATTTATAATCGTTACGATTTGTGAATCCCGTTTGTGACAACCATCTTGATATTCTAGATTAGGACGTCTTCCATCTGTCCCTGTAGACTGGAACGAGGTTAACACCGCCTGGGGGCAGACCGTCCTCCTTCTCTCCAGCCTCTGCAGGAAGATCAACCTCGTGTTGAACAAGTACAAACTGGTTCCGTACGGAAACTTTTCCTATGTTAAAGTGCTGGCTGAGAACANAGAGGAGAACAAGCCATATTTAATCTGGAGATTAAGAAAAAGAGTGGATCAAGCATTAATCCCGATATCCACCATTCTAAAGTTCCCAGCTCTGGGAATAAAATTGACATAAAAAGAATTGAATGTACGATGAAAGGACAACACCCCTGATCAGGATCTACCTTTGTATGGTTCTGGTGGATTCAAGCTCATCTGGGATACAAAATTTGACGCGGGAATGGCGGCTTTTCTAGACTGTCTTCAACAATTCAAGGTAAAATTAAAACATCATTTCTTTAAACACATAGAAAAAAAATCATATATGGCCTAAATTGAATAATCTCTATATACTATGGCACAAATTGGTTGGTAACTCACATGAACGGCCCAGGGAATGTTTTAGAAGGGGTAAAATTGAAAAAATTTTGCCAGGGATAAAAGTTGACACTTTTTTCTTTTGATAATACATCAAATCAAATAGAAAAAACTGCGAACTTATTGAAGAACAATTAAAAATGGTGACTTGAAAAGCAATAGTTAAAACTCTAGTTGTTGGTAGAAAATGGGCGCATTAAATATTTATAAAAATGGTTCTATTTGAAGGAGGAGGTAGAGCGAGGAGATTCAGGGTTCTGTTTACCATACGACATGGAGAAAGGGAAAATAAAGGCAGGGTTACATAGTTTATTTTAAATATCAATCTTAAACTAAAAAATATTTCAGGGCCTGTCGTTGTAACTTAAATTGATACTGCATTTAAACTGGGGCGTGCCTAATTCACAACGGTACCATTGTAACCTTAATCTTATCAAAAATGTTACTTCTGATAATTTCTCCATTGTTTCTGACGCAAGATCGTAATTTACTTTTGTAGAGAAGCAACAAATGAGAATAATCAGTCTTTTAAAAACTAAAATATGGATTTCCAATGATATTTGATCCGACAAATCTTCTAAGGGTAACATTAATACAGTCCTTTTAAAAAAAACGTAAATTTTCCCTGTAAATCATGTAACCTTGTCTGTAGGATCCTGCTACAGGGAACTCCTTCTCTGTGAAGATCCAGTTTAACAGTGAAGAGCAGTGGACCAAGGCCATGAAGTACATGTTAACCAACCTCAAGTGGGGGTTGGCCTGGGTCACGTCAAAGTATACTAAATCTAGCAATTGATTCATTGATAGATAGATAGATTTAAATGGATCATCAGTGAGCTTTAGTATAAAATATTTTTGATAAGTTTGGCCACTTAACATTCTTTTTTATCTACTCAACAACATTGTTGAAAGGTTTCACTTTGTCCAGTTTTTATGTATTTCATAAATTTAGACATTTGGTTTTTGTGAACAGAGTTAAAAGTAAAACAACTTTTAAAGGGTTTAAAGTTTTAAACAATGTTTAAAATAAGTATTTTTCACATGGATACAAATTACAAATGGTTCTTTCGAATCTTAAAAACGTGTCATGTCATCATTGTTTACAAAGATTGCTTACTTTTTTACTATTTTATCAGTGCCATATATAAGGAAGGATTAAAATTTGAATAGATATAATTTTATAAAAGACCTGTTGAAGGTTGATCTAGGTATATTTAAAAAAATTTGAAACCATTCTGTGATATATTTCAGATTTTATAAAACATGAATCCATCTCTTCATGACAGGAGTGAGGTATGCTTTTTAGTTTTATTAATTTCATTGGAATTTTATTTGATATTTTAATGTAATAAACTCCAACACTATGAGTCAATGAGTCAATTTATTCAGTTTCTGGGTATAAAATGTTATAATCGAGAAGTAAAAAGTAAATTATGAAGAAAAGTTATCTTTTGAGGGAATATTATCGTTTTTTCTCGATGGGATTTATTTTTAAACGTTAAGTTTTCTCTACATATAAAATTGATTTGAAAACCAATATTTGTTTATTTTCAATGAAAAGTTTTATATTTTATATTTGTTGTTTGTCCAGGCGTAAGGTGTGTCCGAGGTAGGATGGTTGAGGACGGAGGATGGCGGTCTCGAGAATATTGAAGGATTTTGAAAACCTACCCGAGGATGTCAAAGATAAACTTGCGGAACTTGATCTCGAACTCTCAGAAGGTAATCAATCAATCAATCCATCCATCAATCAATCCATCCATCCATCAATCAATCCATCCATCAATCAATCCATCCATCAATCAATCCACCAATCCATCAATCGATCATTAATTTATTTAGTTCAATGATTCTTCCAATCAACCATTTCTTCTTTATTCGTAATATTCATCCTTTTATTCCTTCATTAAATCAATAGTTAATTAGAATTAATTTGGCAATTAGAAAATGCAGTTATTTAATCAATCAACCTATCATATAATTAATACATTACTTATTATATAGATTATTTATCTTACAATAAATCACTATTACTTTTATTCAGTAAAATTATATTTATGACATATTTAATCAATCAATCAACCGAACAATAAATCGACCAAATTAATCACCAAATATCTTTACTCAGTCAGCAAGTCGGCAGTAAGATATGCAGATTAATTATAAGATCATATATTAATTAAATTTCATTCATTCATATTTTTCCAAATCCCCAATTACAACTTATTTTTTAGGGGACATCACACAGAAAGGTTATGAGAAGAAAAGACAGAAATTACTAGCTCCGTTCTTGGAGAAGCAGGAGGAGATCAAATCTACCGAACCTGCACCTGAACCTGAACCACCTTCTGCTCCGAGTAGGGTTGAGTCTGCAAGCCTCCCTGAACCTTCAGCTCCGGCAGATATCTCTAGCAAACCTAGATCTCGTAGAACCCATAAACGATATTATAATGAAAAAAGATATCATAGCGAGGTATTGGATGTTTAAATCTTTAAAAGATGTATCTAATATAATCCTTTATCTTGTCTCTTCTTTTCTCTTTCACGATAATAATATTACAAGTTTTTGGCAAAAAACTTATATTGTTGTTTTATTTTTCTAAAAGTATCTTATTTCAGTTTAAGTTCAAACTAATTTTGAAGCTTGGCACAGGCCTTCGTTGTGTTTCAAGATATACAATTTCATTGTTACTTTTATCCTGATACACAGTCTGATCCAGTATAAAGTGTGAAGAAATTTGTCTTGTTCAACATTTTTCTTAGAAACATTTTTGAGGATTTTGTAACTTATAGCTGTTGTTACAGTAAAAATGAAGTCAGACCGTTTGTGTTGTGAATCTAGGGATCAAGCATTGATCTCTATCTTATGCATAATTTGAAAGATAATAGAATTCCTCGTCGATTTCCCTTAGTGCTCGTACCCAGCTTATTCTTACCTTTTTACTCACTTAATCTTATTCTCATTGTTTTACCTACTTAATCTTATTCTCATTTTGTTACCTACATAATCTTATTCCCATTTTGTTACCTACTTAATCTTATTCTCGCATTCTCACTTACATAATCTTAATTCACGTTCTTACCTACTTAATCTTATTCTCGCGTTCTTAACTGCTAAATCTTATTCTTACATTCATACCTTCTTAATCTTTTTTCACGTTCTTAGCTACTACTACTTAATCTTAATTCACGTTCTTACCTACTTCATCTTATTATCAGGTTCTTGCGTAAATCTTGTTTCTATATCTTGACCTACCTTTACTCGGTCATTCTTGCCTTATTCTCAGCCTGCGTAATCTTCTTACCTACTTAATCTTATTCTCGCGTTCTTAACTGCTAAATCTTATTCTCAGGTTTATACCTACTTAATTTTTTCACGTTCTTACCTTCTTCATCTTATCATTTCATACCTACTTAATATTATTCTCGCGTTCTTAACTGCTAAATCTTATTCTCACGTTCATACCTTCTTAATCTTTTTTTTCACGTTCTTACCTACTTCATCTTATTCTCGCGTTCTTAACTGCTAAATCTAATTCTCCCGTTCATATCTACTTAATCTTTTTTCACGTTCTTACCTACTACTACTTAATCTTAATTCACGTTCTTACCTACTTAATCTTATTATCAGGTTCTTGCGTAAATCTTGTTTCTATATCTTAACCTACCTTTACTCGGTCATTCTTGCCTTATTCTCAGCCTGCGTAATCTTCTTTTCCATTCAAAGCTACTTAATTCAACCCTATTCTAATCCTATATATAGTGTATAGATTGTATCAAATGCAACTTAATCTTGAGAAATGCATTTCTTGTTTGTTAAGATTTAAAGGTTTTCTAAATTCTAATTAATTAGATAAAGATTCTAAGAATTGTTTTCTATTTAACTAGTTTTTGATCAATGTCTTGAATAAGTTTTTTTTATAAGAAATCATATCTAGGATTAATTTCAGGTTCGACAAGAGGCGGTTCAGCAGGCATTGGCAGCGCTCCAGGATAAACATAAACCTGTTGTTCCTCTTCCTTCTAAGAGAGCAAGCGTTGCTAGAACCTCCGTTCAGCTCCAGGATGAGGACGAAACTAGCTCCGAGGACGATGAACTTAACCCAGACGACTCCGGTAGTACAGGACAACTAATAGTTGAAACAAGGAACCTTGCTCTGGGGTTGTCGGATACCAGTAGCACCGGTTCTCTTGCTAGTGGACCCACTCGACCCCCACCACCATTGCCAAACCCGGATGAGAGTCCTGTTAGTAAACCTCTTCCTCCCTCTCCAAAGTTTATCCAACCAATTCATAATCCAGAACCTGATCCTAGCACAAACTTAACCTACAAAGAAACTGAGCAAAGTATAAACTCTACTCCAAGTGTAACCAGAGAACCTAGAGAAAGTATTCCTCCGGAGCGACAAGAATCTCCGCCCATTGTAGAGCTTAGGAGAAAAGAGGACAAACCTAGAAGTGAACTGAACCCTCGTGATAATCAGGGGGACTCTAGACACAATCGTGATAGCCAGAGTAGTGCGGTTTCAAACCGTGCCAATAGATCGTCGCTTATAGAACCACAAACCAAACCCACTGCTGATCTCCTGGAGAACATTGAACCGTACGATGTTCTCTTCTTAAATACAAATATAGCTCCTAAACCTAAACCTCATCGGCCTAATATCTAGTACTCCGGATGTAGCTCTGCCTGCCCCTAGACACCCCCTTCCCCCTCCCCTCCCACCTCCAAGCAAACACAGGCACTCCGCCCATGTGGGTTCTGTCCGTATTTCGACCAATAAGTACAGTCACCCATCCCTTAGTGACACTTTGTCTGAAACTGGAACTGCGAGCAGATGGAAGGTTTCAGCCAAAATCCAGCAGCTGCTCAACACTCTAAAGAAACCAAAAAGAAGACCGCTCCCTGAGTTCTACGAGGATGATGATGTAGAACTAGAGATGGCAGCGAACAACAAGGATCCGAATGCTCCAAGTCCTGAAGGGAGTGGTATGACCCCGGCCGTTGGCTCTGCTCTAGTCATTCCTGCCGGACTTCCCCGGAATCTGGAGGCAGCAATACAACGCTATGGCTCGGCAACCTACAAAGCTCCGATGGCAACAGTGTTGGATCCGAACGGAAAGCTGAGTATAACCTTGAGCTATGGGAAACTATTAAGTAGAAGTTTCAAGATTGCATATTCTCTCCTAAACAAGATAGGTTTAAATAACAAGGACGGAATGTCTCAGGTGAGACCTGGAGACAGGGTAGCTCTGGTTTATCCCAATAACGATCCACTTAATATGATTTGTGCATTTTACGGCTGTGTTATGGCAGGTGCGGTTCCGGTTCCGGTGGAAGTGCCGATAACACGACGGGACGCTGGTAGTCAACAGATTGGATTTCTGCTTGGATCCTGTAGTGTTACTTTAGCTTTAACCTCTGAAGCGTGTTACAAAGGACTTCCTAAATCTTCATCAGGAGATGTTGCGCAGTTTAAAGGCTGGCCGAAACTAAACTGGTTTATAACGGAACATCTTCAGCGACCTCCGAAAGAGTGGAACCCACCGCCTAGGTTGACGGATGATACTCCGGCCTATGTTGAATACACAACCCAGCAGGATGGATCAGTTCTAGGAGTTTCCATTTCTAGAACTGCAATGCTTGCCATGGCAAGAACACTGACTCTAGCTTGTGGATACACCGAGGGGGAGATAATGGTTTGCGTCTTGGATTTTAAACGTGACGCAGGACTTTGGAATTCCGTAATAGCGTCAGTTTTTAATGGTATGCACGTGATATTTATTCCGTACGCATTAATGAAAGTGAACCCGGCCTCCTGGATGCAGATGATCACTAAGCACAGAGCTAGTATAGCAGTCTGTAAATCACGAGATCTACATTGGGGACTGTTAGCAACTAAAGATCATAGGGAACTAAACCTGGCATCTCTTAGACTTCTCCTGGTCGCAGATGGAGCCAATCCTTGGAGTCTCAGCTCTTGTGATCAATTTCTCTCTGTCTTTCAGTCCAAGGGCTTACGCGCAGATGCAATTTGTCCGTGCGCTTCAAGCGCAGAGGGTTTAACCGTTTCCGTAAGGAGACCAGGCCGGGAGGGAGTAAACGCTACTGGACGTGGTGTGCTTAGCATGGGTGGATTGAGCTACGGCGTGGTTCGGGTGGATCAGGAGAACTCTCTTACCTCCCTTACTCTTCAGGACTGTGGTCAAGTTCTACCCGGAGCAGTAATTGTAATCATTCGAGTTGAAGGAGCTCCGATTATCTGTAAGACGGACGAAGTCGGTGAAATCGTCGTTTCATCGCCGGCCTCGGCTGTCAGCTATTGGGGTTTACCTGGACTTACTCAGACAACCTTCAAGGTTCGTCCTGAGACTGAGGACGGAAAGTATATCGGAGAAAATGAGTTCACACGAACTGGATTACTGGGTTTCCTAGGACCTGGAGGACTAGTGTTTGTATGCGGATCTAGAGATGGTTTGATGACTGTATCTGGGAGAAAGCACAATACTGATGATATTATAGCAACAGTACTAGCCGTCGAACCTATGAGGTAAGGGTGAATTTTAGTGATAAAGATATTTTAAAATTTTGATCCATTTTTTTCATCTTTGCAGTAGATAAATATTCTATATAAAAAGGAAGAAAATTTCCATTATTTATGCATTAAACGCGTTTCAGAAAACATTTATTGAATATTTATCAACAGAAATGTGCTGACAATTTGCCCAGAATATTCTTACTTGAAAAACAAAATGAGGAAAACTTCACAGTACACAACTCACAAGGTTTTAAAATATGCATCAGGATTTTATTTATCAAGAGAACTGGAATTCAATTCTCCCGATCGGGCCCAAATTTTGTGTGGGACCTCATATGACACAGGGAAAGTTTAAGCATGCTCGGAATTACAATAAGTTGTCTCCGAAATATTTTGATTTTCGTAAAGATTTTGGAAATTCACAAAAACAAAATGGTAAGTCCGCAAAAAAAAATTATTATTGTTTCATCAAAGAGAAAATGCTGAAAGATTAAGCAACAATCTTTACTGTCGAAAGTCATATTTAAATCATGTAGAAATACACTTGTCGACGACATTTTTTTCATTAAAAAATGTTAGGGCCGGTTAATTAAAGATAATATTTCGTTTTTAGGTTTATCTACCGAGGACGAATTGCAGTGTTTAGTATCAAGGTTCTCCGGGATGAAAGGATCTGTGTTGTTGCGGAGCAGAGACCAGACTGTTCGGAGGAGGAGGTAAATCATCCTTAATCCTTATTTAACTTCTTTAATCCTCTCTCGTTGATATGCTGCTCATTTCAAACCTGATTTTTTCTTTAATAATTTCTGATTTATCCTTTCTACCACTTACCCAGGTTTTATTTTTTTGGTGTCTGTTCTTTTTCAGGGCCTGATTTTTCCTCGTCATTTCTGATTTTGGGGTTTCCTTGACCGTTACTATCCAGTATTTATAATCCAGGACCGTTTTTATTCATTCTTATTTTTCCTGGTCAATTATTGTCCAAATTGTTTCACTAGATAACTTGATAAGTGGAACCAGAGAGAGACCTTCTCTCATCAATATTCTTTCTCGTATCTTGGATATATAAAAACTTAGTTCCAGGGTGGCCAAAATGTACGGATTGTACGGATTTTTTATCGTTACCAAAAAATTGTACGGAATGTACGGATAATGTCTCAAATTTTTTTCAATTTCGACTCATCAAAAGCTAATTTTTCTCGTCAAAATGAAGTTTAAATTATTATCTTCATTCCTGATTATATTAGGTTGATTGTTGTTTCAATTGACAATTAGAATTCATTCTTTTATCTTTTCGAGAATACATTCCGAAGTATTCATCCGAGAATATGTTTCAGAAGTACATGGTGTCCCACAAAAACTTTGCAGTATAGGTATTTGGTACTGCGGAAACAATTTTCGTTTAATTTTGACAATCAAGGTGGCATTCAAGTGCAATTTGTTACAACCACTACTTAAAGTTTAAGTCAAAAATCTTAAAAAAATTGCAATTTATTTTTTGACCAGATTTAGCCCAAATATTTTTGATGAAAACGCGAGCTGTGGAATGTACCGATTGATAAAAAAATAGTTAGTTTTTCGGCTGGGCAAAGTTCGCATGAAGTTAAGAACAATGGAAAATAAAATGTGATTGATTAAAAAATTGAAAACACCAGGCAATCTCATACTCAAAGAAGTTATTGTATCAAAAAAGTGTGAGGCCCAGAAAGAAGAGCATTCTCGAACTTTAGAATTATGGTCTATTATGAACGGAATGGGATTAGGGACTCCCTTAATTTCCTTTTTTTATAATGCAATCACTTCCTAAATATTAAATTTTTTATTTTTTATTTAAAATTCAGATATATCTGAAATTAAGAAATTATCTACTCGGAAAAAGTATAAACCAACAACTCTGGTTTTCTTGTCATTAAACATAGGAATTAAGTTTACAAAGACACTTTTTTGGAATTTTGCAAAAAAACAAACTAATGCAATTTGTACAGGTGGATTTGTTTCAACCAGTCATGGCGTTTTTTTTACCCATCTGGGAGCAATCGAAAATTTGATAAATAATGAGTTTCCAGGTGATTCATGGCAAAGCACTGGCTCAATTATAACTTACGTTTTACAAAATTGTTTTGTATTGTTTATTTTTGTTTTTTGTTTTTTTGATATTTTATATTTTGGTTTTCTCAGATTATATATTCCATATATAGTACGAGACACGTAAACCCTAGGATGATCATTTTAGGAAAGTAATTAAAGTTTTCTGAGTGATTCTTTGATTGAGCCAGTTTGAGCCAGTTGTTAGCCAGTTGTTAGCCATGATGAGCCTGGAGGTCCCGACCATAGCACTAACGATTGGGATGTATTTTTAGAGCAAACTCTGTCCTTTTTACAGGATTGAATCCTTAGTACTTTTACTTTGAGTAATAGTTTTAAAAAAAATTAACTTTTCCGAAATGTGGTCTGCCTTCGTGATGTATCTTGACAATTGAAAATCAAAGTCGTCACTTAAATCCCGTGTTTATTGGGAACACTCTGTAGGCTTCTGAATGTTGATAAAGTGCAAAAGATTTAACAATTTATCTTTAAATATTATAAAATTTTAAGGTCAAGGATTACTTAATTAATACATAGGGTCTTTATTGTTTCTAAATAATGAGTTTCAAGCTTAGACAGATAAGAAAATCCAAATTCAGAAAATAAAAAGAACAGAATCCCTAATAGTACAAACATTAAAAGCAAGCAGATTTTTAAATTGTATTTTTATATTTTATTGTGATTTTTTTTTCATCCGCTTTATTATTTTTATCATCTGTACACTGCACCGTTATGTGTACATTTGATTCAGATTAATTTTAAAGCAATATAAGGTCAGCCTTTGCTCACAGACGAACACAAAGGAAAATGAATGATAAAAGAAACGAGAAATTTTAATATTTTTAGTTTTGGATGTTTTACTAAAAATTAATCTTTTTTGTACGGATTGTACGGATTTTTTTTTCTTAAATGTACGGATTGTACGGATTATTTCTGAAATATACGGAATGTGCGGATTTTTTATAAAAAATGTACGGATTGTACGGATTTTTTTCATAAATTTACGGATTTTTTCATAAAAATAGTTTTGGCCTCCCTTCAAGATCCTTTTTATTCTGGTTCATGGTGGGAAGTTTGATCCTTTATTTTTAAATAACTGATATCCCAACTTTAAAAAATAAAAAGATAAACATATTTTTTGTGTTATAAAGAAAATTTAAGTAATGATGCTAGTTTGAATAATTTTATGCAAAATATTAGATGTTTATTTAAACAAAAACTGAGTCTTCATATGAAAATCCATTTAAATTTTCTGAGTTTCATGTTTATTTGAAGTATCTTGTCTGGTTTCTCCTGAGAAATATTGCTCTACTACTGATGAGAATTCTAACTCTCTTGAGTTTAGATTACTCCTGCTCATTTAAATGATCCTATCTTCAAACCTATATATCTTGTAACCAATATAGTTCAAAACATGTATTTCAAGAACCTAGACCTATATATTGGAACTATTTTTCCTTAAGTATAAACCATCTTCTAATCTTGTAACCCTGTTTATTTTAAGAAAATATTATGAAGATATCATAATTTTTGACTTGTGGTTTTTTTTTCAAGAAATATTTTAAATATATCATTAATTTATTTATTTAAAGAAACCAGATATTTTTGATAAAATATTTCTGTAATTTAAACGCATTGTTTCTTAATATAACTACACAATATATAGAACTATTTAAAAAAAAAAACATTTTTATTTTTATTTTTATTAATGTCAAATTTTACTTTGAAGAATAAATTATTTAGAATAAAGAAAACAACTTTTCAATTCTTAAGCTTTGAAAATTTAAAGCTTTTTATAACTTAATTTGAACCAGGCATCAGAAATTAACTGTAAATTTTGACACATGAAATAACAGGGACCAAGTTCTATGAATTTGAGCTAGGTGGCTGAACTAGCGATCGCCGGTTCAACTATCTTAAAGCTTCCTTCATCCCAATTCTAAACTTGTAGATCATTGACAAATCTTGAATCCCTGATTCAAGATGTGTGGTTGAAACGTATCTAGACCTAGCTCGAATTCATTAAATTAAAATTCTTTAAATTTTACTTATTTTTAGAGTTTCCAGTGGATGTCCCGTGTACTCCAGGCTGTTGACTCAATACATACGGTTGGTTTGTATTGTCTAGCTCTAGTACCACACAATCATCTACCGAAGACTCCATTGGGTGGAATACACCTCTCAGAGACAAAGAAGAGATTTCTGGAGGGAACCCTGCATCCTGTAAATGTTCTCATGTGTCCTCATACTTGTGTTACAAACCTTCCAAAACCCAGGGAGATACATGCAGACGTTGGTCCAGCTAGTGTTATAGTTGGTAATCTAGTCCAGGTAGGACCAGCTAGTAGTTTGTAATCTAGTCCAGGTAGGACCAGCTAGTAGTTTGTAATCTAGTCAAAAGGAACAGATAGTGTATACCTACTTATCTGAACTAGCTTCCTCCTTTCTGATCACCCTTATTGCATTCCTTGATACTTCATTACATGAACTTCGTTCTTACCAACCTTTTTACTTTAAACTATCTTGATTACTTAGCTATCTTCTTACCTACCTAATTGTATTTACTACCTTCCTACCAATTTTTTTATCTTAACTATCTTCTTACCTACCTAATTATATTTACTACCTTCCTACCAATTTTTTTATCTTAACTATCTTCTTACCTACCTAATTATATTTACTACCTTCCTACCAATTTTTTTATCTTAACTATCTTCCTATCTGCATGCCTAATAATCTGAACTACTTATCTTTTTACCCTAACTATCCTTGTACCTACCTAGGGTAACCGACTAGCAGCTGCCTCTGGTCGTGATATCGGAGGACTAGAAGATGATAGTGTTGGAGAGCCTGGAGGACGGAAACATCAATTTATTGCTGAGATATTACGGTGGCGAGCCCAGGCTACCTCAGATCATGTTCTCTTTTCTCTTCTCAACAGCAGAGGAGCAGCTACACAAACCTTAACCTGCTCACAGCTACATAAGAAGGTTGGTTCCTTTAGATTCTTAATAAATTAATATCAGAGATCGAATTTGATGAATTTGAACAAGGTCGCTAAACTACCCGTGCCGTCGATTTTAAGAATGTAGTGCTGAGCTGCAGTGTAGTTATCATCTATAGGACATGGACAAATCATGAATTACCGTTTCAAGATACGTGGTTGACCTAGCTCAAATTAATTAATCTGTTGTCCAGTATGGAGCGGACTGGACCCCTAAAGTTTTAACCATTTTAGCAGAATGTTAGACATAAAAAGTAATGTTAAAACTTTTAAAATTTTTAGTTGACATGTATTAAATACGCATTCAGTTCTTAAATGTATTTTAAAGGGGGTAAAGGCAATACAAGTTACTTCCTCTTGAATGTCGTCTTCCTTTTAAATCATAAAACAATTATTATTTACTCGAGACATTGTTAATTTTTAATTGTGTTGAAATGGTTAAAACTTTAGGAGGAGTTCGCCGCATGAAAGAGTCCGCTCCATGCATGACACCGGTCTCAGTTTAGTTGAGTTAATTCAACAAATATTTTGATTTTTGAAGAGTTTCAAGATTGGATTCTAAGAAGGAAAGAAGGGTGGAGTTGGATTCATAACTTAAATACATATTTACAATTTGGGGCCCTGTTAAGAATCTTGAGTATTGATTAGGGTCTGGACAAAAAGTTTAGTTGTCGATGAATACTTGAAAATCAGTCCCAGCTCCACGTTCTTGAGAGAAAACTCTTGATTAAAGTTTGTCTGAGATTAATAAATGAATATCAGTCACTGACCTGACCAATATTTAATGTTTCAGGGTTATTTTTTTCAACCAGGGGTTTCTTCGCTCTGATGATTTACTAAGATTCAATGATCCAAAAATAATGCGTTTCCTAGAAAACATTTATTTCACCATTGAAACCATTAAAAAATAATGAGTATGATTCCTTAGTTATTAAAATTTATCTACTAAGTATCAATTCAAAAACATACTTAAATTTTAATTTTTAATTTTAAATTGAAATTACTCAAAAAACCTGTATTATTTTCAAACGAACTTAAATCAGATTAGCACAACAATCTAATATTTGGTCTTGTGATTATCCGACTTTACAGGAGAACTGAGTAAAAAGTTTGTTTCTAATATATCCTGAATGTTTAGGCAGAGAAGATTGCTTGTTTGCTACTGGAGAAGGGTAGATTAAATACTGGAGATCATGTAGCACTAATCTACCCACCTGGAGTAGATCTTATTGCGGCCTTCTACGGTTGTCTTTATGTGGGGCTGGTTCCTGTAACTATACGCCCGCCACACCCTCAGAATCTTCAGACCACCCTTCCCACGGTTCGGATGATTGTTGATGTATCCAAGTCTGTGGTTATTCTCTCCGCTGCTCAGGTGAGTTTTAAACCAGGAATCTAGACAAATTCGGTATATTCTTCAGTTTTGGAACATTCAATCAACTTCCGGGTTTACAAATATCAGACCTATTCTCTGGGTTTACAAATATCAGACCTATTCTCCGGGTTTACAAATATCAGACCTATTCTCCGGGTTTACAAATATCAGACCTATTCTCCGAGTTTACAAGTATCAGACCTATTATTCGGGTTTACAAATCTGCAGGTTTGCATATGTTTCTAGAGAATTTAATCTATTTCTAAAAATTACTCAGCGATTGTCATAAATTTCTTTCCAATTTTAAAAGCTTTACTTACATTATTTTTTGAAAAAAGTTTCGTCAGACATAATATTTTTTTCACTGTAGGTTTTAAACAATATTAAAAGCAATCCAAAGTAATTAGGTTTGGTTTGAACTTTCTGTTCTTCATCCATCTCAGTTTAATGAATTAGAAGTTAAATTTAATTAAAGTTTATGCTTGTAAAGTGCTGCTATGCATGCTGGAAAGTGTAAAAGGCTAGAAATAAAATATGTAAAATGTTGAATTACTTACAAAACAAATTAGGGTAATTTCACAAGTTTTTATGAAGAAAATTGCAGTACGGGATAATGTTTCCAGAACTTGTCAACAAAATAGAAAAGAATATTTCTCAGCTCAAATACTTTACTCCACCTGCAAATGAATAAGCTTGGTATACAGAAGCCTTGATAACATTGTTCATTTTTGAAAAGAGAAAAAAAAACAGATAAACACAACAAATTTTTGAACAGAGAAAAAAACAGATAAACACAACAAATTTTTGAACAGAGAAAAAAACAGATAAACACAACAAATTTTTGAACAGAGAAAAAAACAGATAAACACAACAAATTTTTTCTTATATAGTCTTTCAGTTTATATTTTTATTTGGTGCAAAATGAAATAATAGAAAACTTTATTTAATAAATTCGTTGCAATAAATTTTCATTTTTTCTGAACAAAACATTTATGAATTTATTTATATTTAGGGGCTGTAGTAGGTAATTGTATATGAACTCATTTTCATGTCATTAAGCTAAATATTTTTAAAAAATCATTTTTGTAAAATAAGGAGGTATAGGATAAACCTTAAACAATATAGACTAGATTGGTGCTATTTAAGAATAATTTTCCTAAAATGAATTTATGCTAAAACCCCGACTTTTTTCCTGTATTTTTGGGTCACTTAAACCTTTTAATGCCTTGAAGTTCAATATATTCCTAATCTCATTTTAAAAGATTTATAATAATCTTTATTCTTTAATCAGTTCTACAGAAGGATGGGATTATTGGAGAATTGCAAAAATGTAAAGTACGATGGTTTTATGACATTTTTAAAATTTCTATCGCAGTTTTGGTTTAAGATTTAAAACTTGTTCTATTCAGATTAAACAAACAAAAGAGTTGACAACTAATATTTAGGTAATTAAGCTGTTAAAGTCTAAAGAGGCAAGTAACGTGGTGGACATTAAATCCTGGCCGGTCACCCTAGATACTGATGAACTGGCGCGCCGAAAGCTACCTGGAGTATACAAGGCGCCGACAGCTGAGCTGGTCGCATACCTGGACTTCAGTGTATCGACAACAGGGATGCTTGCAGGGATTAAGATGTCACATTCAAGGTTGGTTGGTTGAGTGATTGATTGATTGATTTATTGTTTGATTGATTGTTTGTTTGGTTGATTGATTGATTGCTTGATTGATTGATTGATTGGTTGATTGATTGATGGAATCTGCTGCAAATAGATAATTCCCAACGACAACATTAGGGGAGCTGGGAGGGGGGGGGGTTGTGATTTATCGCTAATTTACTGATTAATTATTTAGTACAACTGCTCTGTGTCGGGCTATGAAGCTTCAGTGTGAACTATATCCTAGTAGACATTTAGCTCTTTGTCTGGATCCATATTGTGGATTAGGATTCGCTCTCTGGTGTCTCAGCTCTGTTTATAGGTATGGTTTATATCCGTTTTTTCAGAGGTTTATATTTTCAAGAATTCTCCCCCGCCACCTTCTCCTATATTTTTGATCTTAGGAGAAAAAATTTTTCAATTGGACATGATAAAGCCATTTTTTTACCTTTTTAATACTTTAATATCCAAGAGATATTAAATTTTCGCCTATAAATAATTTGTTTTTCAAAGTTCAGAAAATAAAACCCATAAAAAAATTTGCATAAACATACCTAACATCGTCCTACGACATAATTAGGAATTGATCCTAGAACAATTTATTACGGATTATTGTTAAAGTTAGGAATTCAACCTAGAATAATTTAGTACTGATAATTGTCATAGTTAGGAATTGCTCCTAGAAAATTTTATTACAGATTATTGTCATAGTTAGGAATTCAACCTAGAATATTTAATTACAGATTATTGTCAGTTAGGAATTCAACCTAGAATAATTAATTACAGATTATTGTCAGTTAGGAATTCAACCTAGAATAATTAATTACAGATTATTGTCAGTTAGGAATTCAACCTAGAATAATTAATTACAGATTATTGTCAGTTAGGAATTCAACCTAGAATAATTAATTACAGATTATTGTCAGTTAGGAATTCAACCTAGAATAATTAATTACAGATTATTGTCAGTTAGGAATTCAACCTAGAACAATTCATTACAGATTTTTGTCATAGTTAGGAATTGGATTTTCCGTTTTTGAATCCAAGATCAGAGAAAACTCTTAGGAAGTTGTAGAAATCTATTTTTTTGGTTTAGCGGTAAAACTTTGTTTTAAATTTGCCGATGCAGAAAAATAATTTGAGTGTTTAAGGGGTTTAAACTACTCGTAGGGTAGATCTTGTTCTTCTATCTGAATTAGACTAAAGTACAATAAAACACTAGTAATAGCATAACAAATCTTGTGGCGGATAAAAATAAAAAATGTTAAACCTCACTTCACCCCTGTTTGCTTGGCAAAGTTTTAATTCTGTGTTGTATAATCTTTATTTCTTAACTTCTAACATTAGCTGAAAACACAGCGTGTTTAGTAAACATACAGTGTAGTTTATAAAGTTAGGAAACAAGCAAATTGTATCAGAGTTTGAGAGAACTAATTATAGCAGAGTGTAAATTAAGTAAAAATACATTTTTTTGATATACTGCCTAATGGTTTTTGATTGGTAAATTTTTCACTTTTTTAAGTATTAAAATAAAATGTCAGATTTTGACATTAAAAATTAAAGTGATTAGTTTCTTATTTTGTAATGGGATTGAAGAGGTTACGGTAGAAAGTAGGACATTCATATTTTTCAAGCCTTTAGAGCGCTTCGCGCCCCTCTTTCTAGTAACAAAATCATACGATGAAAAACAAATTTTCGCGGATTTATCTGTTTAAATTGTTGCAATTTCAAAAATACTAAAGGTAAACTTTTTTTCGGGCACATCTTTCAATTTTTGGATACAAACTTACAGACAATCAATATATATATAATAATATCTGAAAGGCCCGGCGTTGCCCGTATAAAGAGAGAAAATTTTTTGGGGGAAAAAATTTAGAAAAAAATCGTTTTTTAGTCTGTAGCACCCATCGGCCACCCATGAGTGTCCAAAAAAAATGTCAGCCCATTCGGTCCAGCCGTTTGGCCGGCTGTACGCAACACATATATGTATGTCTTGTTTTATTATATAGAAGATAACAATGTCTATTTCAGTGGGCATCATACAATTCTTATTCCTCCGAGCGAAGTTGAGGCGAACCCAGCTCTCTGGTTAACTGCAGTCAGTCAATACAAAGTTAGAGATACATTCTGCTCATACGGTAATTCTATTTAATAAAGCTCTTTGCTCATAGATATATCTTTATATGTTAGTTATAGCTCTCCAAACGGCTGGACCTAATTGGCTAAACATTTTTTTCTTTAAAATTCAAATTTCATGTGTAACACCGGCACTTCCGCTAGTATTTATATATTTCATATAATTAACTAGGCATTCGGATCCCTTCAGTAATTTCTACTGTCTGATTTAATATTGATAATGTTTCTCTGTAACCTATACTGAAGAACTTTACTTCACATTTTTAATTTCGATCTATCTTTTAACTTTTCTCTTAGTTTTAGTTTCAAAGTTCTTATTAAAAAGTTTATTTCCATTTTTTCATAAAAAGTTTGTTTCCACATTGTCAAATTCTAGATCTTTTGTTTCTTGTTTTAAATCTTCTCCTTCAAGTTTTAGTTCTTAAATATGTCTAAAAGGTTCTTTAATTCTCCTCCGAAAATAAATCCAACGAGGTTCCAAAAGATTGATTAATTGGTTCAAAGGAATAATTAGTTGACCCTCTCATCATCCTCTTCTCATTATCCTCATCCTCATCTTCTTCTCATTATCCTCGTCCTCATCCTCTTCTAATTATGATCCTCATCCTATTCTCATCATCCTCATCTTCATCTTAATCCTTATCCTTATCCTCATCCTCCTCTCATGATGATCCTCATCCTCTTCTAATTATGATTCTCATCCTATTCTTATGATCCTCATCTTCATCTTAATCCTTATCCTCATCCTCTTCTCATGATGATCCTCATCCTATTCTCATTTCTCATGATCCTCATCTTGATCTTAATCCTTATCCTTATTCCTCTTCTCATGATCCTTTTCCTCATCTTGATCGTTGTCCTCATCTTTTTTCTTTTCCTCATCTTGATCCTTATCCTCATATTGATTCTTATCCTCATCTGGATCGTTATCTTCTCCCAGATTTTCAATCTTGTCATAGTTCTCATAAATTCCCCCATCCTACCTTTTCCACCTTTCCCCCTGTTCCACCTAAAATCCCCCCCCCGCCCCCTTCCTCCTTAAATTCTTTTCTTCCGCCCTTCCTTCTCTCAATCTTAAAGTTTTTCTCTATTTCTTTCCAAGTTTTCCGAAACCAGATTTATTTGGCAGCTCGAGTTTATGAAAAGTAATTAATTTAATCTTTCGTCCATTTATACTTCAAACCGTCCTTTGTCCTTTAATCTTTCATCAAGCTGTTTTAATCCATCATTTATAATTTCTCTGCTAATTTAATCTTCGTGTTCATCTTTTTTTTCTAATTCCTAATTTTTTCTTTTTATTGTTTTTTCATTTTAATTCTTAATCATTTCTACAAATATTTTTATTTCATTTTTATTTTATACTTAGATTTAATGCTTAATGATTTTTATAACTGCTATTTATTTATCAGTAGCTGTTAACTTCTTTTGAAACTGAACTATTTACCTACATCGTCCAACCTACAACTAAAGCCATTAAATGAAAGTATTTTGAAATTATTTACAAATAATTTTAAATGTTTTCTTAATACTCTTTTTAAATCATTTATTTGTGAATGGTTTCTTTATAGGAAACCATTGTCTAGTTTTATAAATATAAGAATCTTTATCTAGGTGTGATGGAGTTGTGTACCCGAGGTTTGGGTGGATCTGTGTCCCAGCTCAAGTCCCGCGGAGTCCAGCTGGGTTGTGTGAGAACCCTGGTGGTGGTTGCTGAGGAGAGGCCGAGGATGGCTCTCTGCAACTCCTTCACAACCCTGTTCACCCCCCTCGGACTCTCACCCAGAGCAGTTTCCACATCCTTCGGGTGCAGACAGAATATAGCTTTGTGCTTACAGGTTATGATAAATCTAATTATAATAATAAATATCAAGACATAGAGATGGGAGATAGGAGATAGGAGATAGGAGATAGGAGATAGGAGATAGGAGATAGTGGATAGGGGATAGGGGATAGGAGATAGGAGATAGGAGATAGGAGATAGGAGATAGGAGATAGGGAATATGGGATAGGAGATAGGAGATAGGAATAAGGATAGGGTTAGAGTAAGGTTAAGGGTAATGGTTATGATCATTCAATCAATCATTCCCAATTCCTTTGAAATCACTGTAAAGTAAATAAAATGTCGTCTTTCGTCAGGGAAGTTTACAAATTGTTAGGTTTTATTGCATCAAACAATTAAATGTAGAACGTTTTTAAATCAAAATTTAAAGAAAACTCAACAATTAAAGCTTTGGATTGTATAAAAAGTTCAAATATCTCATTAGAACTTTTGCAAAGCAGTAAACCTGCCATTTGTTAAACAAACCAACATATTTTTCTGCAATTTTTGGCTCTTACATTTTTAATCTTAGATAATGTTGGATTAATTCCACACCACACAAACAATCATAGCCTTTGTAACCCATCCCTCCCATCAAAACAACCTAATCATACTATACCCTTTCCCCTCTCCTCTCTCGTTTTTATCTTACTTATCAAGCTCCCTCGCATCCCCCATCCATCCCCTTTCAATAACATACAAACCATAAACCCATAATAACCCAACTCTGGACTTTTCATTTCTGCTTTTTAAGATTTAAAAAAAATCAAAGAAATGTGTTGAATGTGCAATTATATTATTTATTAGCATCCATGTAAAAATACTAAATTTTTATTTTCCAATTTTATTAAGTTAATTTTCTCAAAATGAATTATGTTTTCCATCTGGAAATGAGTTCCTTTTAATCTATAAAAGATGAAGGAGAATGGAGCTTGTTAGTTCTGTCACGTACTAGAAGTACATCAGATATTATTTTATTAAAAAGGAATTGAGTTTGTTTAAATTTTTCAAACGTTTTTATTGAAATATTTTTGAAAGAATTATGGTGGTTCTTGAGATGAAATAATTAGAATAAATGTGTCTATGAGTTAATGTTTTGTCTATAATTGAGATTACAGGATCGGTTGAAAGTTGAATTTGACTTTATTTTTGATATTATTGATTATTGAAGGACGGGATATATTTTGATAATAATAAGTCAGTATGGACTAGAAATAGTAGATTATTATCTGAGCTAATTGGATTTTTAATTAATTTGTCTTTTATTCGGATTATTTTGTCCTTGTTAGTGACTGCTTTGCAGGAATAGAATGGTTTGGGCAGAGTATGATTGGTTTTTTGAATCTTTAATATAGCCAGTCATTGATTCAATCAGCTGGTAACTTTTCAAGGTTGGGAATAAATGAGTTGGTAATTATTGCAAATTGGGTTTTTAAAGTTGGAAACTCTTTTAGCTTTGGATTCTTAAAGTTGGTAACTCGTATAGCTTGGAATTATATGAGTCGGTAACTCTTAAAGCATGGGATTCTTTAAGATGGTTACTCTTTAAGCTTGGGATTCTTTGAATTGGTAACTCTTGAAGTTTGAGATTCTATTAGTTTGTAACTCTTTAAGCTTGGAATTCTATAGTTGGTAACTCTTTAAGCTTGGAATTCTATAGTTGGTAACTCTTGAAGCTTGGGATTCTTTGAGTTGGTAACTCTTTAAGCTTGGGATTCTATAAGTCGGTAACTCTTTAAGCTTGGGATTCTATGAGTTGGAAACTCTTAAAGCTTGGGATTCTATGAGTTGATAACTCTTAAAGCTTTGGATTCTATAAGTCGGTAACTCTTAAAGCTTGGGATTCTATGAGTTGGTAACTCTTCAAGGTTGGGATTCTATGAGTTAGTAATTTTTTATGATTGATTTAAACTGTTTCTAAATAAAACTAAAACTTTGAGTGATTAATACTGCGAGTTAGTGAGCAACTACTTTAATATAGATAAAGTGTGTGACTGAGTGTGTGTGTATGTGTGAAAATTAAAGAACAGAGAATGCTTGCAAAAAAAACTTTTGATTAAATGAAATAAGTTTTCTTGCCTAATATAGGAAAACTGTAAAGAAAAATAATTAAGAAAATCCCCCCTTCCCATTCACAACCTTTTATCAATCCCCCCTCCCACCCATTCACAACCTTTTATCCATTCTTCCCTCCCATTCACAACATTTCATCATTTCTCCCCTCCCATAGAGATCATCCTGACAATCATCCTCCCTTCCCATACACAACCCTCCGTCCATTCTCCTCCTCCCATAGAGATCATCCTGACGATCATCCTCTCTCCCCATACACAACCCTCCGTCCATTTTCCTCCTCCCATAGAGATCATCCTGACAATCATCCTCCCTTCCCATACACAACCCTCCGTCCATTCTCCTCCTCTTCCCCAACATACTTCCTTCCCCTCCTCATCTCTCCTTGTCCCTCCCCTTCCCTTCCCTGCCCGTCCACCTCCTGAATCGGTTATAAAGCGCAATAAAATGAATCATCTGGAGGAATAACTTCATACTTCACCCGGATAAAATATTATGATAGTCAATTTTTTTAAGTTTGTGGATCTTTATCTCCCTCTTTACACCTTACTCTATTTTCTTTTTTTCCTTGAAAACCGTGATTTTCTCCGATAAGTTGAGCTTTGTAAAGCTGAGCCTAACTCCAACAAATCCTATTATTACTGAGATAATTAAACAAACAAGATCTCGAGCCTCGTGGGACGGAAAGGTACAAAATATATTCCTAAACTATTAGCAGAGAATTTCGTCACCACGTTTATAAACTATCTGAGTTAAAAATCACATAATTACGGTCAGAATGTTACTAATTT